TAACCACCTGGCCATGCCATGCCGGCCGTGTTTGTTTGTAATTTAAGCACAAAGCTACACATTAGGCTCTCTGTGCTCTGCCCACCACGGTTTTTAGTGTTGTGCCACTGGGTGGGTTGGCACAAGTTATCGAAGTAAAAAACCTCGAATCTACTGAATTCGTTGCTTTTTATAGGAGTCTTGAAGATGGCTATGATCATTTTGTAGTAATTTTTTATTGGAAATAAACTTATGTGTTTTAACACAACTAGCTTAAAGAATATGCCGGGCGTGGCCAAGCAGTTGCCGTGCCCGGTCTATGAACCATGTGTTTCACGGTTCGTGGTCCGTTGCTGGTAAAACGCGCTCTGCTCTTTGGGATCATGGGTGCACTATAACAGTGATCGTGAAATCCCACTGTTCAGCCATACAAGAGTAGCCCAAGAGTTGGCGGAGAGTACTATTTCAGACCGAAATTATGGACGGCTATACGCAGATAGTCCTTGCATAGCTTTGCGCAAAAGTTCTTAAGCAATAAAGTAAAAAAGCTTAGCAGAAAACAACGAACATAGCTAGCGACGTTTTGTTATTGATATATATATATATATATCGTTGTATGAGAAAACACGTTACAGCTGAAAAGTAAAAACATACCAGGAGTGTGTAAAGAAAATACTGATTTTCATCACGTAGAAACAATTGAAAGAACAACGTTCTGCCTACTGCTAAAACAACGTTTTCCATCCCAGTAAACCATGGATTTACAACTCTAAAGTTTAGGGTTCTATTACCCGTGGTACACAGAACGTAGATTGTGTACCTTTGCGCTAAAACAACAACTTAGATGAATGAAAACTATAGGCAGAAAAATAAGGCCATTTTCTTATTTATCATGTTAAAACTTACAAAATATACACATTTAATGTGAACAATTCTGCTTTTTGGAATTCAAATTTTCTTCATTTCCACCTCTTGGAAGTATTTTATTTATTAACATTATTTATATTAGCTAGACGCCCCCCAGTGGCACAGCGTTATATCTGCGGACTTACACGCTAGAAACCGGGTTTCGATACCCGTGGTGGGCAGAGCACAGATAGCCCTTGTGTAGCTTTGTGCATAATTAAAAACAAACAAACAAACAATATTAGCTAGACATATTGTCGTAAACACCTCCAGTATTTTTTTTTTATAAAAAAAAAGAGACAAAAATGGTATCATAACTGTGTTACAATTTCGAGATTCCAAATATTAATTTGATTAATTCTTCCTTTTGGTGTAATAGTGTTTTTTCTGCCGTTTTAATCACGTGAAAATGCGTGAAAAATTGAGAATTAGTTTGTTTCACTTGTGTTTTCGGCATACTAATTATCATGTGTTTTGGGCATGTTAATTATCATGTTTTCTTTATTCTTCATTAATTATGTTTTATATCTCAAAAACCTACACAATGGGCAATTTTTGCAGTAGGTATCGAAACCTGTTTTTTAGAGTTATAGGTCCTCAGACTTGCCAGTGAGCCGCCAGGAGGAGTATTAAAAAATGATTCCACTTTGTTATTGGCAAATAGAAACCGAAATATTACTTATCACTGAAAGTATCAATTAAACCCTCTTATAATTAATGAGGTAGTTGTTGTTGTTGTTGTTTTTTTTCACACGTTACAAAGCAGTATTCCATTAAAACAGGTTGGATGCTGATTTACTAAGTCTGTTGTGTCACTTAATTTACCTCTCTCCAGGAAGTGGTGCGTGGAAAGAAAAAAAAAAGAATATCGATAGTTTTAACCTTTCTAGCTCTTTCCTGAAGAACAGCCAAGAAAAACAAAACACTCTAAATCAAGTTGAAGAAAATATATTCGGGCTAAAATAGTTTTGTCAGATAGTTGTTTCACAATTCTAATAATTAATTAGTATAAGTGGCTATGGAACATTGTTAAAACAATTAGATTATAGAGACTTACATCACGATAAGTTGGTTAATTCTTCAGAAAAACAACTTTTTTCGTGTTTTTTTTTTTACATTTTTTATAACTTTGTTTGTTTGTTTTTAAGCAGAGATTTTTTTAGCGGTATAAACCTTCAGACTTACCGCTAAGCCACTAGGAAGAGAGGGATTATTATTTCTTGTAATTTAAATATGACTCTGTATCTCTGAGAAAAAACATGCGAAATAAAGAGTTTGTGTTTGAACACACAGCTATAGAATGGTCTATCAGCTCTCGGTCCCCCGAAAACATTGAACCTTGGATTTTACTATTATATGTCCATAAACGTCCTTCTGA